TCCTACTTGAAGGACAGAACAAACTTTGTCTCAATAGGCTATTACAAATCAGCCCTGATAAATATGTCATGCGGGGTTCCTCAAGGCTCCATCTTAGCACCTTTGCTTTTTAATATTTATATGCTACATCTGGCTGAAATTATTAAAAAGAGCGATCTAAGCTATCACACCTATGCAGACGACACCCAGATTTATTTTAAAATCACACCGGGAGACTATTCCCCGATTAGAACACTGAGCAAGTGCATTGAGCACATCACTGACTGGATGACTCAGACCTTTCTCCAATTGAACAAACAAAAAACTGAGATCATTGTTTTTGGAGCAAAGAAGGACCGATTAAAAGTAATCACAGAGCTTCAGTCGGCAGACTACAAAGTAACTCCCAAAGCAAGAAATCTAGGTGTAGTGATGGACTCAGACCTTTCTCCAATTGTCGATAAAACTTTGGCTCTGATGCGGCCGTTTCTCTGGCTGCAGTCACCACTCTTGCGGCTTTCACACCAGTGCTTTTCCCGTTCTAGCTCCGTGCTAGAGCTTTTCTTCTCACTTCAAAAAAGAAGAAGAAATATAGACCGCAAAAATAATTAAACAAGCGAGTACCTGTTTTTCCTGGCCAAGGACAGGTTCCTTGAACACAACACGAGCGTAACGTGTCTTCACGTGGTATATGTCTCGTCTGAAAGGAGTGCTGACAGAGAGCACCGGAACGCCGCTCCAGCCCTTCAAATATTGCAGTACCCATAAGGAGCCGTACACATGCCGCAGTGTTTGCGTGGCTGTGTCTTTAGTTGTAAGCACAGTAGGGGTGCAACAACTAATCGACTTAATCGATTAAAATCGATTACCAAATTAGTTGCCAACTAATTCAGTCGTTGATTCGTTGGTGACGTCATCACGTGTTTTACGCGCCGTTAAGATCCAACGTTATCAGTCTTTTTATCGGTACTGGAGACATTTAAAAAATATATGTCATGTATTATTGCTACATAAGCATTATATCGCAGTCTTAGTGTCGCCAACTCGTTTCTAAAATGCAAAAAGACAAACAAATGCGTCTATGATATATTTTCGATCTTTCCAATCTAGAAGAGAGATCTTTCTCCCCCGTCTGTGTGCGAGGGGGCGGGGCAGTTTACACACACGCGGCTGCTACATGCAGCAACACACTGCGGAGGTGACGGAGAGAACGCGCTCCGAGGTGTGGTTAAACTTTACCCGTCTCGATGTGTAAAATGCTCGTTACCAAAAGTGCAATAAGAGTTTAGCATGTAAGGGCGGTAACACGAGCACTTTGTCTAAACATTTAGCAAAAGTGCTCCACATTCAGACGGAGAAATGGACCGGGTTCGACTGTCTTTCTAGCAGCTCTGTAGCTCCGTCCACGAGTAACGTTCCCAAGTCAGGTGTTATGTATGCTAGCAGCAACACACGGAGTTAACTACATTATACAAACATGGGTTAATGATTAGAGGAAACTGAGTTACTTAGTTTGTTAAAGTTTCAGCTATTCTGTTTACAGTTCTGTCATCAGATTATTTAATACGATTTGTTAAAACATTGTTGTTTCTTTTGATGTGAAATATTATTTATTTACTTTAAATAAAAAGCAATGTTAATATATGTATTTTTGAATCAAGTCTTCATCTTTATTGTCTTCATTGTTAGTTTCCACATGCCTAAAACAACCTCAAGCCATCAACTAAAAGTTGATGGCGTTTGAGAAATTGTGCAAGGCATAATAGTCCGAATAGTCGATTAATCGTTTCATTAATCGATAGATTAATCGATTATCAAATTAGTCGTTTGTTGCAGCCCTAAAGCACAGTGGCGATCTGTTGTTATTAGCATCTGGTTAGCTAGCTATGCTAACGAATTTAAAGAGCTTTTCTACAAGGTGAGGTTAAGGTACACCTTGATATGATCGTTATAGTTATTAATGAGACTAAATGAAAAACAGGTATAAAATACTATATGACAGGAACAAAAAAAGTTGTCAAATTCAAGAATAGAGTTTAAAAAGGGAGTGATTTGTAAAATATCCAAAAAGAAAAATATATCCATAGATCTCTTCATGTTGCTCTCAAAGTGCACCAGATTGATGCTCTTAACTTCAATATTTAAAAAAAAATCTTCCCAGGGGAGCATGCTCGCGGACTCCCCTAGAGGAGGTTAGGTCCCCCCCCCCACTTAAATCATGTTCACATGGATAGGATACTAAATACATTTGCACACATCTTGTGTCCATATCTTTCTGTTTTGGTGGTCACGCCACACCGTGCACATGCATGCAACCGTGAGTCATGGTGAGATATCTGGATTCAGAGGTTGCTTTTTCTTTGCACAGCATGAAAGAAAGGCGAAATGAATGGGCTGTGATTTTAGTTTTTTTAAGCAGAGGTTGAGTTCAATCATTTGTACGACCCTCGGAGGATGTTGTAAAAATGTAAAGGAAAAAGGTTCCCCACCCCTGCTGTAAATAATAATAAAAACCCTTGATTTATAACTTAACATCTCTGTCTCCTATTGAGTATATTATAAAGAATAGCAGTTAATTGAAGCATTATAGCGCAGGCCTTTGTCAGATGGTATATTACGCTGTTTTGTTTCTGCTTCGAATAGTTCTCTCTTTTTTCACCATACCTGTGTTTGCATCACTGAAACCAATGAGCACCTGCATGTGTGTGAGAATGGCCCTGACACCATTTCAGCCCAGATCTAAACTCCTGGCAGGACAAGCTCCAGCTCAATTCTCTCACTGAACAGAACAAAGTGAGAGAGGGACTGCAATATAAGAGGGAAAGAAAGAGAAACTTGTTCAATTGTTATGATGTGTAAAGACTGATATTGTTCTATACTCGTCTGAAACTGTTAAGTCATGATGTGAAACGGTTAACAAAGAAAAAGGGAAACTCAAGCTGCTGCTACACTTTATTTTATTTATCTAAAATTAAGCACTTTAAGATGCACATATTTTCAAAAGCTATTTTATTTATTTTCTCTATTTTATTTGTAAATGCAGCCCGAGAGGAACATTACACATATCCACAGTATTTACTGTATATCTGTAGTTCAATGTTAATTGACAATACATATTGTTTATGAATTGTACTTTCTTTATTTGATTGGCAGTCAGTTGTTGATTACATGCAGACGTTGATAAAGCTGCTTCAATATATATCACACTAATTCATGAAGCAAGTTAGACATTTTGATGTTCCGGACCTTTGCATGGGGAGAAGTGAGGCTACTAGACTGACGGTCTACTATAATAGCCTCATTTTTTATATTTTGCAAACCATTAGCTAGCACTAGTGTTTTGCAGTTGCTTGCAGCTTATTGGGATGTTATGCTAGATAGACAGGCATTGTTTTGATATAATAAATTAAGCATTATTGTTAGTTAAGCATGTCAACAATAATAAAACTGTGGGTTTTCTCCGGAAGTTTTTCCTTTTACGATGTGAGGGTCTAAGGACAGAGGGTGTCGTATTGCCATACTGATATTCTGTACACACTGTGAAGACCACTGAGACAAATGTAACATTTGTGATATTGGGCTATATAAATAAACATTGATTGATGTCAGCCTGCAGCCCCACTTTGAAACTCTCTGTCTCTCTGTTAGAGTTTATTGAAGGATAAAAGTGTTTTCATAATGTGTTTTCATAAAATGTGTTAATGGAGGAACAGAGAACAGTCTGTTCAAATGGCACACATACACACAGATTCACATGACTGAGAGTCACAAGATTCACACTAACAAATAAGGCGTTGGTCAACACCACATGATTGTCATGTTACTGTCTTGTTGAAATAAAAAGAATGCACTGAGAGAAGGCGAGCGGAGTTGGTTAAGGAGTGGACATTGCATGCTCGCCGATTCTCCTTGCAGCAAGTAAACTTGAAACTCGAGTACTGTTATCTCTGTTCACTGGATCTGGGATATTGAACCTGGGGTTTTACCCTTACAAAGTAATATAGATACCTCACACTCTAACTCATTGCAGATGGCTGCACTAAAGAAAAGGGCACAGAGAGGAAACCAGTTGTAAGATGTTTAAAAGTTCATTAAACATAATATATGCTTAAATGCATTTCAAAGAAGTTGTGTTGGAGTTTGTGTTATTCCACCTTTTGACACCAAGATTATCTGATTTTACTGCAAATGTATATCGGTTCCAAATATCGGTTATCGGTCTCCTTGATTACTAATAATCGGTATCGGCCTTGAAAAAGCCATATCGGTCGATCCCTATAACAGTGTTAGGCATTTGTGAGGTGCAACAACATGAACCTTTCTGTTGGTCGCTTGTTAGCAGACCCTCCACGCGATAGCAGAGCGAACAGGTACAGCAAGCGAGGGATCATTGTCCACTAGTAAATCGATTGCAGATGGCGTCGTGCTCGCGGACGGATACAAACAAAATAATAATGAATGGGTCGCGAAATATACTTTGGTGGCCGTTAAACCTGGGCGGCCCAAGTAACGTCTATGTGAGGGAAACCCTGGACTTGAATCTTTAATTGAGCCTTCCCTTATAGATACTATCTCTTTACGTATTAGTGATGGGAATTCCGGCTCTTTTTAGTGAGTCGGATCATTTGGCTCGGCTCACTAAGAAGAGCCGGCTCTTTCGGCTCCCAAACGGCTCTTCATGTTACCACAGTTTACCAGAGCCTCAGTTTCGCCGCTGCGAGGCTCCGGTGCTCGCAGTTCACGCGCGTGCTCCAGCACCCCCAAGGCTCGCCGGCAGTATACTTTCCTTCACAGGAACACGCTTTGCTGGAGGAGAAAATAATCCCACCAGACTGCTTTGCCCCTCCAACAGAGGGATGTCCTCGACCTTTTCATCATTTCAAGCGATAAAAACTCTTTTGGACGCCCTCGGCTCGAGTTCAGGGCATTCCGAGCTGAATAAGGGCATCAAATGACCGCAAGACGCCCGCCTGGCGGAAACGCTGGAATTAGGAATATATTGTGATGAAGTGCACACTGACCTGAGCTCCAGGGGTCTCTTTGTTCTCGTCCATGCTGCTCTCAGTGCTCCTTCTCCGGCTGGGTCTCTGAAATAAATCAACAAAACTAGAGCTGACACAAAACAAGACAACTCAATACAACCGACAGACACAACAAAACTAATCCACAGCTACTTCGTAGGTTCATAGCAGAGGTGAGAAGTAACTAAGTACATTTACTCAAGTACTGTACTTCAGTACTATTTAGAGGTACTTTTACTTTACTTGAGTATTTCCATGTAATGCTACTTTGTCTGTGACAATAGGAGACAGTAATAAAGCTGCTTCACTGAAGAGGAGAAACTCACAGCTCCAGGACTCAGTCAGTCAGGAGGAGACTAGAAACAACAAGTCAATCAACTGAGGATTCATCCTGTAACATAAAGGAGTTACCTAACAGAAACCAGAATGCTAACGGTAATAAAGAAGAGTTACCGTACTAAAACAATATGCTGAAGGTAGAAAGGGAGCGTTTACTCAAACTAAACGATATAATAATGTTAGAGAAAGTAATTATTAAGGTATTTCCTCCACCTGAATGAGAATAAAACACACACACACACACACACACACCTGGGGCTGCGTTCATAAAGCTTGTCGATAGGGTTAGGGTTTAGCCGATAGCTTTTAGACTGCAGCTGTTAGCCGATGGCTTTTAGCCTTTATTTAAAGATAATTTGAGACTATTTTTGGCGCACATTTTAAAGTTTCTTTCTTCCAAGATTGCAGCTGTTGTGTTAAATAAGATAACTTCTGATTCGTGATTAATTGTAAACTAAGCTAACAGGTGTAAATACACTTAATGAAACCTCTGCAGATGTTTAATCCACTCACCTCGTCTTCTTCTTCTTCTGGTTTTTGGCGGATTGAAAATAACTTTTCCTACTGGACCCTCACTATTGCGGTAAGCGTGTTGTGACTTCCGGGCTATCCTGTGTGTCTGCTCGGCTGCTGATAGCTTATATTATCTTAAACTAAATCGATCGTTTTACAAATTCTTGATCACGGCAGCTACCTGGCGTTGTAATCACACGTTACTACAGCTTAAGCACTCACAACTCTGCTTCTCTTAGCGACTTTAACTCCACAGTTGCTTACACTCCTTTCGGGTTTGCTAACGGTAGCTACTTTAGTTTGATAGCTAGCTATGGCTCCTTCCCCGCCCTCGGGTGCTATTTCCTGCTCTCTGTCTTATGTTTGGTCACCTCCCGTCCTCTTTTACTGGTACCGATTATAGTGATGGCAGTTTGACACTGAAGCTTCGAACGGAGCTTCAACCCTGGACTTCATATTCCATAGAAGCAGTGCTTCGAAGCTTGCTTCAAATCACGTGACATAAGACGTCAGAAGCAGCAACTGCTTCAAATCACGTGACATGTGACGTCCGAACCAGTAACTGCTTCATTTCCTGAATGAATCACTTGACTGGTTTGCGGTCCATTCACGCGATTCAATGCACTGCCTTTTGCCTCGATTCTGACAGGTGACAGGTTGAAACAGTTTCAAATTTGAGCGCTTCAACACTTTATGACCGCTCTAAACAATGCGCAATGTGTGGGTCGTCGTAGTTTGCATTGTTGCTGTTGAGTTGTTGTTGTTGTTATTGCATTTGAATTGTCGTATCATTATAGAGCAAACCAGGAAGAAAGATAGGTCGTTCTGGCTCGGGAAACACTTCGAAATGTGGAGAAGTTGTGAACAAAAAGACAATTATCAGTAATATAAAAACAGTTCAATAATTTAAGGAATAGATAGCCCAGTGGGTAGAGCCGGGCGGTCCGAATGAGGCGATGTCCTCCGCGCAGCTGGTTCAAAGCCCTGTACTTTTAATCATTGCTTTTCAACTTTAATACTTTAATAACTGTTAAAAGGCCCTCTCCTCCCAAAAATATGTCCAGCACTCTCTAGTCTCTTCTCAATAACCCAATACACACAATTATCAATCTTTGATTGCAAATAGAACATGATATTCAGTCTTAGTGTGTGTGTGCATCGAATATTTTTCAAGGCAAAGATACGTTAAACCCACTGCAGCCTTGCACTTCGCCAGGAGAGGTCGCTGTAACTGAAGCTTCGAGAAATGAACCTATTTCCGACACAATTGTCCAAGTGGTTCGATGCTTCATTCAAAGCTTCATTTTGCCATCACTACCGATTAGTGATGTTACGTATTGCGCCGAGGCTTCGGAGCGTGTGTCGAGTAATCCCCGAAGCTTTTTGTGAAGCATGTATCGAGGCTTGTATCGTTTTGGGCCAGTGACGTCATCGATGACAAACGAAGCCTCGCTGCCTGTCGATACCACGTGACTGCTTCAGGAAGCGATTCAGATCGGTTGAACCCGGTTGAACCACAGCGCTCATATTCCCCATGCCATGGATGTATAATAAGAACCATATTACCCCTCCTGTACCCGGGCCCGGTGACACGATGGAATTAAGAGAGCTCAGACCCTCACTTATATAGAGGTCAGAACATGTCATAAGTATAAATAGATACAAGCATAAATAAATGTAGGAATAAAAACATGAATAAATACAGGAATAAATATGGTCCAGGGTTGTCAGGGAGATTCAGTGTGTGTGCTGTGGCTCAGCTGGAAAGCAGTTTATTTTTTGTTGTTTATAAAAGCTATGTGAAATGAGATAATGTTGTTAATAAATGTATTCTTTGGTTGCATTCCTTAGGCTTTTCAATCACAATCATTCAACTGGAATAAAAACAATATTGTTAACATGAAAATATGATATGATAATATTAATGTTGGTTGTTTAGAGTTATTCTAAGGCGTTACTCATTGGGAACTCGGTATGAGAAAGAGCACACTGTTGAGATGTCCAATCTGCCTGTTATACACACTTTGACCAACAGGGGGTTTATGTTCAAATGAAGCCCATGATGAAGCCTCATGAGATGAACCCTTTTGCGAACCAATTGGCTGGAAAGCTTCAAAGCTTCCTAAGGCTTCATCTTGCCATCACTAGTACCGATAGGCCTACATGTGTTAAATGTAGTACAGTTGCTAGGTTGGAGCATGGATGTATACTAAGAACGGTTGGAGGCGGGAATCATAGCCATAGTACGCTTACTAATGACGTCACCTATTGGCTGTACGGCAAACCCAAGAGGACAATTTACACGGCCAAATTCCGCAAAGAATATTAAAAAAATAATAATCGACAGTGAATATATGTTAGTGGAACTGTGTCAGGAGAGTGAAGTGTTAATTAAGTAATGGTATTGAATAACTGAAATGTATAAAATTGAAAGTTAATATGTAGCATATCCCTCCGAAATATGGTCGTAGACTTTACTGATGATTTAGAATTTATTGAAACTCCAGACTCAACGTAAGAGCTTGTGCCTCTTCGGGGGGTGTTAACATTTAAACATAACTGTATTCTTTACTTTCTCCGTCTTCATATGTAGAAGATATCAGATTCCGTCATGTTGTTTCCATAGCAACAACAACTTCCTGTCAACAAATCCTGTTTCACCTGCTTAATACAGTCATCATCACCGCTACTGTAGTCATATCGGGGACCCGTAACATTTACAATAGTTGAGATGTGAAGGGGGTTATGTTTTGTGTCTGTGTTCTGGGTTCCTGCAGTTTTTTTTAATAGACAGTAGGCCTACACACGTTCAGAGGATGAACGTGTGTACTGTCTGCGGGAGTTTACGATGTTGATAGGAAGTTGTTGTTGCTATGTCTCTTGTTTTTGTTGTGTGCTCGCGGTTTACTGTAAATTCCCAGATACAACTGGTTGTACTTCCTGGTCAGATAAACAAAGATGCCACACACTGCCAAGTGGATCATTTAAATCACAACTTCCTCGTTTGATTAGATAATGTGTGTACTTTGCATTCTCAGAAATATGATATCGCTGCTGAAAAGGCAAAAAAATATAAACTACAGAAGCGATCAAAATGTGATGGACCTATGTGCACATTGATTGTCATGGATGAATATAATTATATGAAAACTGATTGACCTTAATGTATAGGCTGATTTAAGATGATGTTTATGCCAACTAACTGACTTGGTCACTCATATGCATACCACATGACATTTTCTATAAAGAAAACAGTTGAAACAGCATTGAAGATGCCCTTTGCAACTTGAAGGATTCAGCTTTGCTTTGGTATACATTCATGGAGAAATATGTGTTTCAGGGTATGCACACAGTTTAATTTAAGTGCAAATTATCAGATTATTAGATTAGATTCCATGTAACTTGTTAGACGTTTTATCCAAAGCGAATTACATTCATAGATACCGTCAGTAGGCTACTGTGGACAATCCCCACAGGAGCACTTTGGGGTGAAGCGTCTTTTCCAGGGACACAACAACATGCTGACTGCAGTGGGATTGAACCTGATTTGAAGATCAACGCACTGAGCCACACCCTCCAGATTTTGATAACTGACGGTTTTTACTAATTTAGTCAAATGTTATTCAAAGATTAGTTATTTTCATTCTGTTACACATAATTTCCCAACATAATGTAGTTAATTAATTCTAATAAGAAAAATGCATTACGCGTTATACACACTAACAATACAAACATAAGAGCATAAAGAAATATTTAGATTTCTGTTCACTGATAATGATTGCCATTAATAATTGGAAATGATTGACCTCAATGCAATGTTGATTATAATGCCCCTTGACTTATTTTCCTCGCCACATGTTGTATACATTAGACAGTTGAAATACATGTACAAAAATTGAGAGGAAAACATTAACCCTTTCTTGTTCCTAATATTTGGCTAGATACATATTAAACACACATCAAATATAAAAGCATTTAAAACGTTTTTAATTTTCCACACTGATTACTGACATGACTCAGTGTAACTGGTTGATCTTAATTCATTGTTACATGATTATAATGTCCCCATTAAGGTCTGACTTGATTGCTTGATTGATAAAAAAGCAGAATGGAAAGACATTATCCTGTTTGTTCATGTTGATTGGCAAGTCACATTACTTTTTGTTTTGGAGTGCCTCAGGTTTACAAAGCTCAAACTCCCATCCATCTGCAGCTAGCAACACAAGTCTGTACAAGAGCATCAGCTGTATCAAAGGTCATTGATACACGTTTAACCTATTCAGACCTAATCCAGCCTGGAGCCGTACACCTCCACCTCACCGAGTGACAGGTACCCGGTTCTTCCAGGAATGACGATGTTGACGTAGCGACCGTCCATCCCGTTACACTGGAATGTTTCCGTAAAACCTCCAGGCACGCTTGAGATCACAGCACACCTAGCAGAAGAAGAAAATAGTTAAAGACAATTTAAATACATGGATTCTCTAAAGACACACATCATTTCAAGTTACTGCACAGTGGTTACAAATATAATGATATCCATTATAACAAGAGCTACAGTAGTAATAAAGTGAATGGACTGTACCTCGGATTGTTGTTGCCATCGTTATCAAGAGAATCTCCAATTTTTATCTCTGCTCCATTAATATACGAAGAGTTATTTTTGTAGTTGGTTATCTTAGCAGAAAATATGTTGTGGGTTTTGCCCAGGTCCAGTCGCCACCATGGGTTCAATTCGTGGTTTGTGTGGGTACAAGAAGCCTTTTCCCAGTAGCTGGCACGATTTCCATCAATGGCATTATAAGCACTGTACGTTTGATGTTGTGATTGATTGATTGATTGATTGATTGAAAAGTTTATTAACAGCTTGTATATTGGGTACAGTACAGTACAGCTCAAAACATACAATTGTTAAGGGGATGCAGACCAGAGAAAGACTTTCGTCTTGTTTACATCAGGGTCCCCCATTTCCAATTCATCATGTCATTTAAGACATATAAGACATATTTGACATACAGATGGCTTATTTACAATTTACATACAGGTGGTTTTTTACATACAGATTGCTTATTTACAATTTTCATTTTAGATTTCGTTCTAATACATCCTAACCGGACATTTAAGACATACCAAGTCTACAGATATACAGTTAGTAACAGAGTCTAAAATGCGAGTATATACATAGATGGGGGGGGGGGAAGCTGTCCATTGAACGACAGGTTGAGATTTGTACCATTACCGGGGCCAGTTTTGCAATGCTCTCCCCCGAAGGTGCTCTTTAAGAGAGGTTTTGAAGGTAAGTATAGTTTTACTTTCCTTTACAGTTGTGGGAAGAGCGTTCCACGTTGATGTGGCATAATTGCGAAACGTGTATTCCCCCTTTTTTGTGCCAAATCTGGGTTTCACATGATTTGTGGAGCTCCCTCTGGTGTTATGACCATGGTATTCCTTGACCTTTGGGAAGAATTTTGACATGTACATGGGTACCATAGAGGTGTAGTGGATCTTGTAGACCAGGCCCATTGCAAGTAGCTGTACTCTGTCGTCTACTCTAAGCCATCCTAGGTTGTCAAAGTGGGCAGAGGTGAGGTGGGTTCTAGATGAAAGGTCAAGCAGTAGTCTGACCAGTTTATTTTGCGATGTTTGAAGTTTTATTTTTAGCGCCTTGGAGGTGCTATGGTACCATGACGTGCAAGCATAGTCATAGTACCCTTGAATGAGTGCTCCTGCCAGAGTTTTCAGGGTGTTTTTGTTTACCAGAGAGGAGATCCGGTATAGGAATCTAGTTCTTTGATTGACTTTTTTTATTACATTGGATGCCATTTTGTCACAGGAGAGGTTTACCTCAAGAATAGATCCTAGGTATGTAATTTCCTTCTTACTTGTGACAATAATGTCGCCCACTGCAACTGAGAAGTCGTCGGATTTGCTGAGATTATGTTTCGAACCGAAGAGAATGGACTCTGTTTTACCCAGGTGTAAGGATAATTTATTATCGGCGAGCCAGGTGCAGATTCTGCCGAGCTCGGAGCTGAGGGTTTTTTCAACCTGCAACCTGTTCCTGTCAGAGACCAGCAGGGCTGAGTCGTCCGCGAACAGGAACAAGTTGCAGTCACATGCTGATGACATGTCATTTGCATAAATTAGGAACAGTAACGGACCTAATATGCTTCCTTGTGGAACACCACAGCTCACTGGGAGGGGGGGGGGGACAGTAGTGCTGGGGGGAAACGATTATTTTGAAAACGATTAATCGGGCAATTATTTGATCGATTAGTCGACTAATCGAACGATTATTTTTCTGTTGTTCAATTCATAAAAAACGTAATGTAAAACAATTTTTTTTCACGATACTGTGTCTCAGGGGATCTTAATATTTAAGAACCTATTAATGTGTTATACCAGATTAACGGAAATAATCTCAGCTAACTGACGATACAAACCATGTTTACCAAAACAAAACACAAGTCTCATAAGAAGCATCTAAATGACCCCTGAGCGAAAAATGCTAACGGACATTGGCACAGATCTCAAGATAAAAGTACCCTTATTACTTATCGTAGCTGCACATACAAGATATCCGATTAAAGCTGAGACTCCACAGATTATGTAGGTACATAGTATCATCACTGAGTGATCCGGACTCGCGACAGGGGAAGCAAATACAGTCCATCACAACACGTACCTTCACAGAGCTTCTAGGGAGATCGTCTCACCGCCGTAGCTGTCAATCTGATCAAAATACGTGTTCAATGGCATTCAAATGAGAAAAAACGCGGCTGAAATCGGTTAATCCATAGGTTTTTAACGTCTATGTATAAAAAATTATTGAATTTATAATCCATAATTCCATTTTAAATCGGAGAGCAAATGCTAGCTGCTAATGGTTGCCACCACAGCTAGCTGCTGCTTCCGGTCAAGCAGCAGTCTCAGTGAGATATAAATATATAAATATCTTGCGTTTTGGACTAACTTTAAAATATTCCCATGCTTTTGAAGACCTGGGGCGAGATGTTTTCGTTTGAGGGCTTCGTGCGCAATCCTGTGAGGAGGAGTTGGTAGCCGTTTCAGTCTCCATTGTGTTAGAAGTGCGATTGCGAACTGCTTGTTGCTTTGGGTGACCCACGTGTGTGTGGCGTCATACAGTCTATGGTGGCGACGCGTCGACGCGGAAATATGTCGTCGACGATATTTTGAAGTCCCCTAGTGCTGTAGCGACGCGTCGACGACGTCGACGCGTCGCTACAGCACTAGGGGACAGAGTACCGTTTACCTCCACCATCTGTTCTCTCCCCTCTAGGTAGGATTGCATCCAGCTCACCGATAGTTTATCAAAACCAATTGCTTTTAGCTTGTCAATCAGAATGGGGTGATTGACAGTGTCGAAAGCCTTTTGTAGGTCCAGTCCATTGTGTGATGACTGTGAGGCTTTTCCTTGGAGTGCCAGGTTCTCTCCTGCAAACATTTGCAAATAGCTCTGATGCTCATTTTCCTTAATTCTCTCTGTAGAAAGAAAGCATATTTTGTATATCCTAAAACAACAATTCTGTCTATTTGCAAAAGTATACCCTTTCCAGTGGAAAGAAGAAAATGCAGGAAAAGGTCATGGAAAGTTGTTGATGCATGTTGTTAATTGGATCTTGATAAATGATGCAGCAGTAGAAATACATGTGTTTATACAATATGTCGGTGTCCACAGTATATATGACAGATTTGCAAATTGTCACCTGCTGTTTTCCTCCAATTATTTATCAAATGATTATGCCCATGAATCATTTTCAAGATGCTAAAATAACCTAGCTGTTGCTTCTCACTAAGATAGATGTCAGAGTTAAGAAACATTTGGATCAAATACAGTATACAGTAGATGTGCCAAATGTGGTTCAAACTATGGTTTGACTTCAGCTGTATAGAAAATTAGCAAGATTTGTCTAAATGAAATCTGGGTTGGCTCTCCAATTATATTTAATTCTCACCTGTTGGAACACGGTAACCGTAGACCTCCACCTCGCAGAGTGGTTTCCATCAATAGCATTGGAGGCAAATCCATACAAGTCGGCAATACGCTCTGACATGCTCGCTCTTCCACGTAAAGCCACATTCTAAAAAAGTAGAAGTACTCAGGTCTTGTACTTGAGTAAAAGTAGAAGTACCAGAGTGTAGGAATACTCTGTTACAGTAAAACTCCTGCATTCAAAATGTTCCTCAAGTGAAAGTAGAAAAGTATTATCATCAAAATATAGTGAAAGTAGCGACAGTAAAAGTAGTCGTTGTGCAGATTGGTCCATTTCAGAATAATATATATGATGTGTTTTATAATGATTGATCATGAAAGTGTTCTCAAAGCTGGTGAAGGTGCAGCTAGTTTGACTGACTTTGTATACTGCAGGGTAGCTGGTGGATTTACTCCAGGTGGAACTAAAGTCTGATTCAACACTTGATTATATTTCACATCATTCATTCACATCTGTGAAGTAACTAAAGGTATTAAATACATGTAGTGGAGTGAAAGTACACCATGTACCTCTGAACTGTAGAGAAGTAGAAGTACAAAGTATAGCAACAAATTGAAATACTCAAATAAAGTACACGTACCTCTGAATTAAACCTAGTACAATACAATGATAATATTCACATAGGTGGAAGTGAGTGAGAAAAAAGTAATGGTGCAAAATCAATTTAACTGCAAATGATGAATTTGAGTGACTTATCTTAGGTAGAAAGGTAAGGTAAGCTAATCTCTGAAATATGTTGCTGTCTTAAAACTAATGACATGGAGTTCACATTTAAAGCTTTCATGCCACACTATCAATGCTTTATTTTTTCCAGTTATCTATACCAAGTGAAACGTCCAAAAAAAATCACTCAAATCCAAAATATAGCATGAAATACACCAGCGGATACTACACAAAGCACTACATCAAATACTTTTCTAGAGAACCACAGGCGCATGTTATGATCACAAATTAGAAGACATTTCACATTATTGTGTTGAAAAATGCTTAAAACTCTTAATTAAAACTCAACATCTACTAGTTCACAATTACCTAAAAATGCAACTTAACAAATAAATTAGACAATTTCTTTCTGCAATAAATATTTTAGATGTGATGATTTTCTTCATGGTAAAATAGCATATTGCAAGGTTAGCATTCATTAAGGCATGTATAATCAACAATCACAAATACATTATCTTAATATCTTACCTGCACTGAAACTGTAGGAGAAAAGCCGCCTTTCACATCTTTTGTGCTGAAACTTTTAGAGGTTCAAGTCTTCTCTGAAATCGCTCCATGCTCCTGCCGCGCTCAGCCATGTTGCAGGTTAGCTGCAGACCCTCCGGAAATGACCTTCCGTGGTCATGACCATAGACTGTATATATAAATGGACGTAGGGTCCGTGACGTCACCCATAGGATTCTGCAGAGTTGCCGTGAAGCCCTTAGTAGGCGGAGTCGGCCACTAACGGCTCGACAGTGACGCCAGAGTTCAACTCCCGCCTTCTCCAGCCTGCTCCAAATAAGGGCAAAGAGGCGGAGCCGAGGCGGGACCTGCTGCCCACCGAGCTGGAAGTTCCAGAGCTAGCTGAAGCTACCAAGCTAAGCTAACATGCTCCCCATCTGCACGCTGCCGTCGCATTTTACGTTTCTAAGGTAAGCGGACATGAAACTATTCAGCAAAACTATAAATAATAATCTAAGTTATTGAGCTTTTAGCATAATACTTCAGAATCTTAAAACCCTTAACGTTTGTATGGCAATTGTGCTAAATTCAACACTGGAATCAAGCAAATATTAATATGTTTGCATGACATTAGTTATTTATATTTTGATATCCTTAACTATACGTTTAATACATTTAAGTCAAGCTAAGGTACATGTGATGGTAGCTAGTTAGCGCTCTTACCTGTGAGGCCTCCTCCAAACAGCATAATAACCAGACTGTATCATTAAAACTAAGTACCAGTTATAGATCCTTGACTTTAGACAAACAATTCAAAAGACAAAATGTATTTAAAAGACCCATCTTTATTTTGAATGTGCCTCTTAACCTGAGATATTAGTTATACAGTAATAGTATTGACAATCTAACAAAACTGAGCAACTCAACAGTCAACTTTATGTTTCTTATTGTCTAAAGCATTTATTATTTTCATTTTCCCCCTCTCATATTCAGTGTGGACGGATTGAGACAGCATGGTGTCCAGAGAGCTGCAGAGACTTCAGGGAGAAACCTCCGTGTTATGGACGTCCTGTCTGTTGGTTTGGAGAGGACTGAGGGTCTTTCCTCTGCGAGGAGGACCAGGGCTGATGAAGGAGCCCATGCTGGGCAAAGCTGATACCAACTGCACAGGCCTAGTCGGTCACTTCATTTGACTAAATGTGTTTAATACATTTAATAGGTTTACACCTTCTGTCCATATGTGCTTTTTATTTAAAACATTTGATTAACTTTTGGTTCACATTTCAATAAATTGTATTTGTATTTGCACTCCTTTTGTCCATTATTCATACTGAAAATGTTAGATTACACATTCACATCTGACTGAAGATTGGCCCCATTTATTTGTGACGTTGCAAAACAAGGTACATGTTGTGAAGCTCATAAAGTGAGGCAAATAGAAATCATCAGCTGATGGAGTGTAGATGTGGAAATAGCTGCATTCGATCAGCTGACTGTTTTTACAATAAAAGTAGTTTCTTAGTGAATGTCCTGTACTGGTCTTAAAATCTCATAACATCAGCTTTTAATGTTCCTCTTGGATGTTCTTCTTGACCCTCAGAGCAGGAGAAAATGTCCTGTCTTTCAGGCATGTCCTTTCCTAACAAAAATGACAGGAAACATAAAACATATTATTGCAGAACAAGTGTGTTATTTATGAAAGTGGTGTGTTTGTGTGTTTAGGGGCTGTAGATATAATTATTTTGTAATTGTAATGTTTTTTTTTTATTTCAACAATGAGCTACAAAGACAATAAGATTATGAATGAACAGTATGAAGTTCATCAACATTGAAATATATGTTATTATCAAAATTATATTGAACTGTTATCAAAACGTACCACGTACCACGTTTTTTCAGACAATATTGAGAGATAAATAGTAGCAGTTCTCACTATGTGTTAAATATCTTTGCCTTCAATACATTAAATTAGAAAGCTGACAAAGTCATATTGCTTGTTAACAATAACATCTAAATGTAACTTTTTGCATGGATAAAACCCTCAACTTAACTGATGTGTAGGTGATCTAGTATTTAGTATTGTTTAATGGAATGTATATCAGTGTATTCAAGTCAATACTTCATTCATTTAAACCAATATCTTTCTTGATTCTTTGTACAGTATGAAGAAAAGAGTCTTTGTACCTGTGCTGAAGTTCACTGCTGTGAGGAGTCCAGTTCTGTCTCTCACTCTCTGGTCCAGCCTGTCTGCATCACCTGGACACCTTAAACAAACAGATATATATATATATTAGGGCCGGGACTCGATTAAAAAAATTAATCTAATTAATTAGAGGCTTTGTAATTAATTAATCGAAATTAATCGCATTTTTAATCGCATATACATATTTGACCTAAGAACAGTGAGAAGCAATTTTTTTCACATGGATTTTAGTATACCATTAGGCGCATTCACACCGCAGTACTTTTCCCACAAAGGTTCATGAGAATTTAGTTCATGAGAACTCTTTGAACCTGGGGGTGGATTAGGCAAATGAAGCCGCTGACGTCACTTCTTCTTCTTCTGCTTTGGGTTTACTGGCAGGCCGCAAACCACTTCACGGCGTATACTGTCCGCCCAAAGTCCCCGGCCGGAAGTCCCCGGAGTTGGGGACTGGCTTCAGTAGAAGCTGCTGGGAGTCCCAAGCAGCCTTCCAAGTAAATCGCCAGAACGCCGACACCTCCTCATCTTCCACCGCTCCCATGTTTTATTTTGTGTTGCCATAAGTTAGTCTCTCTGGCGTTTCTGCGCTGGGCTATTCTAATAATGCTAATGCGAGGATATTAAAATGGCGGCTTCACAAAACGTTTTGGGAGTTTTTACGGGGCGTGGTTTGCAATCCGCCCAGCCAATCAGAAATAATAGCTCTTTTCTTCTCACAAGAGAGCCGCACGAAAGTCCCTGTCTCTCTAGCAGCTCTCTGCTCTCTAGCAGGGACTTTCGTGGGGGTAAAAAGGTTCTCATGAACTAATTTTAGTACCGGCTCTTTTTGGTGTGAACGCGATAAAAGAGGCTAACGTCCACGCTAGCTGCTATATGTTTTGCATTGAGGTGATACTTGAGCTTGGTGTGCTGCGGTGATATGCGAATTCCTTTTTGTCATAATTTGCACACAACCGTGCTCTTATCGACGCTTCCATCCGTCCGTTTTTTAAAACAACATTTCCCCAACTGTTGTTCAATGTGGTGTGTTTGTTGTCTGAAGTCATGAACGTTAGTTGGTGCTCCAGTATAATCGGTACGCCTGAACTCATCCAGTGAGAAACGTTCCGCGGTGCAAAAATAACTGCGATTAAAATGCGTTAATTTTTTTAACGCGTTAATTTTTGTGTAATTAATATTAATCTTAATTAACGCGTTAAAGTCCCGGCCCTAATATATATTGTATGTAAAGTACCATGTGTACAAACAATATAACTGATTCTCTTCTGTTGAACATGTTGGATTGTGTATTGTCCGAGTCAGGGTCCTTTTATTTTACTGTAACTTTGGAAGTTTGTTACCAATGCTTACGTTTATTTGATACCCATTTGGTAATGAAATTAATAAAAACAACAAGGTTTGGGTTCGTTCTTCAGATGACTGTGACGTTAACGTGTAAGCTCAATAATGCTCCAGCTCAACCAACCATATTGTAATATCTAACTAATCATCTTGAAATATGACATTAATTGTAATATACACACATCTATTGTGAGGTT